ATCAAAAGATTGTTTTCATCAACAAAGCTAATGAAGTAAGCTGGCAATACCGAGCCTGACAGACTACCCGAGGGCTTCTGGGAATGAAAGACGAGCTGGCCACGCCTAGCCAGTTATGATGGGAAAAATGGTGGACTCTTGACATGTTTAGTGGAAGGAAGGAACACACACTGAAGGAAGAGATGGGGACAGAGGTAGCACTCCTGTTCTAGGTGGAGAAAGAGATGGAATGACAATGTTCACTGAGCCCAGGGAGTGAGCTGCCAGGGCATGGGGGAAGACAGCCCTTGGGGAGGTCCATTTGTGGCTGAGTCTATAGTCTACATAAACATCTATATCGTCTTCCCTGTATATGGCCAACAAGTAGGTGGTCATGTGACTGAGAACCTTAGAAAAGATGTAGGGGGCATGGGACACAAAGATAATTTTACTCTAAGAGAGAAATTTTAAGAAAAGGTAATTGGCATAATATGTTCATTTCATTGCATTCATAACTGAGATTGATTCATTTCTCTCAAAAACAAAAGTAATATGTGATGATGTTTCACATATTTTAACTATTTCTAAAATAGACAATGATGTCAGTTTTCATATGAAGTACTTTTTATTATATATGGTAGTAATTGCCAGGGCCACAAAATAATAAATAGTAAAAAAAATAAAAGTCATTTCATCTAAGGTGTGTCGTTTTTCCGGTCTTCTGAAGTCATTATGCTCATCTCTGTTCTTCCTTTAATAAAGTTCTGGGTTATCTTAGAGTGTGATACAAGTTCGAAGGGTCATATGCGCAAAATTATGTCAAAAGGAAATGACATAAAAAAGGGATGAGTAAATGAAGCCAACCAGCAGTGGAAGGAGATCTTCAGAACTCCTCCTCGCATTTGGGTCCTGGAAGTATTTAAACTTGAGCCTGTGTGAAGGGGTGTGAACCTAAGAGCTCAGGGCCTAAAGTGGATAGCCACCACTGTCATTCCAACTGCTCACTGTGGTTCCAGAAAGCTCTCAGAGGAAATTACTGCTGCAGTTTGATTCTGCGGTTATTGAGTTGGAGAAGCTCTTGAGAGAGACGGACTCCGGAGTTACACATAACATCTCCTGGGCACGGTGCACCAAAGGTGATGATTTCAATACTGTGGAATTTGAACTCGGTGTTCCAGCTTCCTTCCTCGTCTAAGAGAACTGCTAATAGCTAACACTACAGGCTACAACAATAAAGAAATGAGAGGGTCCTAGGAGATCCTCACCTGTGCTGCTATGAAGGAGTCTCGCCAGCAGCAAGCAACATTAGTTGCTATGGCATTTTATTTTAATTGAAATTATTGTATTTGAACCCAAGGGGAGGGAAGGAAAATATCCTATTTTCATTTAAGGTTTCTCTCTCCTCTCCCCTTTTAGTGAGGAACGAGCATAGAGTGAGACCAGTGCACGTCTGTCAGGGATACGTAATGAAATCCTTGGTTGTTCCTTCTGTTCCTTCCTAAGTTCAGGGTTCCTACCACTGTCTTGGGAAGGATACCCCTGGATTCATTACTCCTCACCCAAAACAAATAGAAGCAGATCAATAGTAGCAGAAAACAAAACAAGTAAATAAGCCCACGAGATCAACTCACATTTTTAAGACAAACAAACAGCAATTGGCACCATCATCACTGTAACCATGATCTCCCTCTCCTAGAACCCGCTGGAGTGCTTCCCTAAGCACTGATCATGAACCTCTTGCCTCTGACAGCTTCTCATGTCCCCTTCCCTGTCTTCCCACAGCATTATATATGTGAACTAGTATCTAGGGAGCAGGATGAATAGCGAGAAAGCTGGGCCTGTGGCTTTAAGAGGACTTGGGTTATGGAGAAGGCACTCTTGAGGAAAGTCCGGAAAAGAGAAAAACCCAAGTGCTCTTTCTTAGCAGGGTGGCTGAGAAGTTACAAAACCTAAAACCTCACCCCCTAGACACACGAGAGAGCTCTGAAGAAAACAGGATGGAGAGATTGAGTGTGTGCAGCTGTAGGAGTACTTGTGCTCCACTGGGGAGTTTTCTTGAGATGGAATGGTTAGAAGCAGAAGGGTGGGGTGCTTGCTGCAAGATGGGGTACCATCACAGCCCACAGAGAACTTGGAGCAGGGCCTCAGCCAAGCACTTCAGGCTGTCTGCGGAGGAGCATGGGGCAGGGAGCAAGGGGCAGAACTCCTGCCAGCCCAATGGCTGTTGTCAATGGGGGATTGGACCCAATCACAAAGAAGATGTGAGAAATTTACTGACAGACCCTCCCACTCCAGCTTACTGGGAAACTCTCTTCAGTGCCCTGGAAATCTACACACTCAATGTCTCCTGGGTGCCATTCGGCATCTCCACAGGCATTGTGAGTGCGTAAGAAGGAGGCCTGTAGGTAGCTTCTTCCTTTATTTCTGGTCTCTAGAATGGGGTTTCTGACCTAATAGCAGACAATCAGGCAGTGAGATGTGAAGTAGACATGCGAGTGACGTTTCTGGCAGGACCGGATTCTAGCCCCTGACAGGATCAGGGAGTCCACTGAAGGCATTATAAAGAGCCGGACAATGGAGCCTAACAGAGATGGGAAGGGCATGGCTTACATTCCCCTCAGACAGAGCATTTCAGAAAGTCTTTCTCAGTGGAGGTGGATGTGCTGACTTGTCCAGACTACTATGGATGGCTCCTCTCAAATCCATCGGGGAGGGTCAACAGAGGGGGTGGGGAGGAGACAACCGTGTCTTTGTAGGCATGGAGCAGGTTGAAGTTAGGTTGAGGGATTCATAGGCTTTGCAGTAAAGATGCCACAGGCCACTCAGCAAAAACCCTAGAAGCCCTGAAACAACAAGCCCTTGGGATTTTTGTGTGTAAATACCAACCCCTTATCATAATTGCAAAATTAAATTATGTGTTTATGCAACTACATTTTATGAGTATTCATAGCTTTCTGTGAAGATGTTTTGATGACCAACTTTCTTATATTACAGTACAATTTTTAATAGATGTGATCCTAACTAAAATTATAAACTTTAATGGATACAAAACCAGGTACATGGAAACCTTTCTCAGGCAACATGAGGATACATACCTGCAATCTTCTAAGAACTACATAGTAACAGTATAAAGAGCAAATGAGGGAGGAGGGTAATGTGTTCAAGACCAGACAGCCACTGACGGAGGAGTGGGAAACAGTCAAGACTAGATGGAGAAACTTAGCAAGAGCCCATTATCAAGGGAAAAGAAATGAACTTTGCCCTGCTACAGATTAAATTATGTTTAAGAAAGAGCAAACCTGTTTGGCCTCAAAGGCTTCCCTTGTTTCTCAGTAGAGAAACCCATACTTCAAACCTTGAGAAATATTGAAAACATATCAAAATGGAAATCAAACTTAATTTATGCCAAATATTCTAATACGTCTTAGAAAAGCAGCTTAGATGCCAAGCAATGCTACTCGTTAAAGGAGATGGCAGGGGACTCAGTGGACACTTCCATCTTGTGGTCACCTTCTCTCTCCAGAGAGTCCCAGCAGGTGGAAACTCTCAATGTGAATCCTACACCTGAAAAAACTTAGGTTTCCACATTCAAATCTGATGCTGGAGACTGCCCTTCCTTTTCCCGTCAATTCCCCTATTCTTTTCAGTCCTTTAAGAGAAATATCTTTTCTCCTAACTTCATCATGAAGGGCATTGTCTATTACCTACAAGCATAGATGTTTTCAATGTCAGGTAATGTAAGGCATTCCTTGAAAAAAGTTAGAAAACATGTTTTACCCATAGCAAACCTAGACAATGAGTATATCTTTGCCCGTCTGCTGCTTTACTTATAACAACTCTTTCCCACATTGCTGTTATTCCCCAGACACCACTGAAGAGGATAACAAATGTTAGAGCAATTGTATTGGCCTCACAGCCCCAGCACGTCCCAGTGTGTTCCTAGCTCAAAGAAACAGCCAGCGTGTAGTTTCCATGGAAAAAATAAACTAGCAATGGATGTTATATCTCTGTAGAAGACTCTCTCTCAGCCTTCATGTTGGCGTCTCCTCCTGCCGATGTCGTCCTTTGACAAATCTGTATGTTCATCAGTTGTACCCAGCTCTGGATTTAATGCAAAGCTCTATCCAGACTAATACCGTCTATGGTAAATCACATCATGGATAGAGTTCAGCTGTATGGCGTGTGCCTGCAGGACATCTGGCTTTGCACACTGTGTTTCCCACGCTTGTAAAACAGTTCCCCAAGAGAAGATAAAACCGAGTATCAGCTTATCGTCTCTTCTCATTAATTGCATAATTCAAAGGCTCACAATAATGGGGCACATGGAATATTTTATGGGGTACCAATTCTGAGACTGAGATAAGGAAAGTCCCCTCTACTAAAACCGTATTGATTCTCTTTTCAACCTCAGAGACATAATTTCTAAAATCACTTGGACATCTGGTAAGGTTATTGACTTTCCAGGCTATACTGGAAATACACAATCTGAAGGGCAAAAAGGTCTCTATTAGGATGTCAGGATAAACTCAAGCTCAAATGGACACCCGCTGACTTTGGTCTACTCTTCCTTGCTTGCTCAAACGATCTGCCAGTAAGCCAGGAGAACAAACGGCTGCAGGTACTTTAATAACATCAGGCATCGTCAACGATTTTAAATAAAATTCTCTTTCAGTTGCCTTGGATCACAGGTATGGTTTGGTCACTCCGACAGGCTGTTTGTTGTCCGTGGAGACCATTCTATGACAAAATCAGGATGCTTACCCCTGTAGGGTAAGCAAAACTGAAACTCACGCTGCTAAACCTTACCAGGCAATGGCAAAAATATAAGTGGTATTTAGTGCCGAGCACACAACCAAAATCAATAATAATCTTTTGGTTGAGGATCAGAAGAAATAAATGTAAAAATAAAACAGATGTGTGACCAAAATCTCAGCCCTCAGTTGTAGTTTGCACTAACAGGATAATGGCTGTCTTCTGCGGTTACTTAACCCCTGCCTCCCCTGCATTGTCTCCAGACTTACCTGCAGCTGGAGTGGGCCTAAGCCTGGTGTCGCTGCAGCGGCAGCTGCCATGGTGGTTGGGATCAGCTGAACAGGGTAAGGGTCACCTAAGTAAGAGAATAAGAGAGGCGTCAGCACCTTTTATCTCCTCTCCACCTGCAAATTAAACTCCTGCATTCCCTCTTTCCAAAAGCCTGCCTTTGTGTGCCTCGCCTGGGCCTAATGAAAAGCTCCATTGTGTAGCCTTTTACCAACGCTCTCCACGGCCCTGGCTGAGAGAGGACTGCGAATAAAAGGAGCAAGCAATTAAGGCTGAAACCTCATCCTCTTTTCACAATGTTATTTAGGAAAATGGGGGCTGGGGGGCTCATGGTTCAGGGGCTGGGGCTGTACTTGGGCACACACACACACACACACACACACACACACACGCCTCTGCAGTCTTGATCGGAGCACATCAAGTCCTTCCTTGCCAACTTCTCAGTCCTATCCTAGATGCAACTTAACTAAAGTCACTTTCGTTTTAATGAGCTAAACACCAAAGACTTAAGCTATTAGTTAATCTTTTGAATGTTGTATTATGGCCTGGATTCAAATAATCTCTTTAATAGGTCGTGAACAAACCCAGAGTCAGGAAAACATTTCATGTTTTTTCTTTCTTCCCTTTCTTGTTGACATTATAGAAAATATTGACAACTTTATTTTCTGGAGATAAATGTTGACAAAAGTATATTTTAAAGGTAACAAACAGACAAACTGAGCTTTCAAAATTGTATTTTAAAAATATGGTTCAAAATTAGTCTAGTTTTTCTCATCATGTATAAAAATGCAGACCCCAGAAGTATATGTGGATTATTTTGTGGATTTTTGATGCAGATATAGAAATATTTATTTACTTAATAAGAGGTAAGGCAGATATCTTCATCAACTATGCATTAGTAATGCAATCATCAGTGCACATTAGTTAACCACTGGAAATATGATATAGCAAGAAGCTGAAATTAGTGTCTATAAAAACAAATTTTCTAATATATTAAACTGGTTTTAGAAACTGAATTGTGAAGCCAGGTGTCTGTAAACCCACCACTCAGGAACCTGAGGCAGGAGGACCCACAATTTATGGATAGTGGGAACTACACAGTGAGACCCTGTGCGAACAAACAAGGAAAAACAAATTCATTAAGGAACTTGTTGAAGTACGCATACATGATGTTCAGATAATTCAGTTTAAAACACCGCGTACCCACGGTAAATGGTAAACACTGCTCTTGGCACCGGAAGGAGAACGTTGAGAAAGTCTAAGGTAAACATGGGGGTGTATTAGGAATTCAGGGAAGTTCAACTGTAGGTTTCCAGAGAGGCCGACAGCATGTTCGCAGAGCCCCACACCGTGTGTCACAGTTTTCTTCATTTTATACTTAGCTCTGATTTTGTGTTATGGTAAATATTTCATACTGGCATGAAGTTTTATATAGATTATATTTTATGTAGATTTTATTTTATATAATGTTTATATAATATTTTATATAATGTTTCTTATTCTTTCTAAAGATAATATTCTAACTTTGTTTATGGTATGGTGACAGACAGCCTGACAAAAAGCACCTGGGAGAATGACAGCTTATCTGGATTTCAATTCCAGGCTACCATCCCTCACTGAGGGGAAGTCAAGGCACGAACTCAGGATAGCTGGTCTGCAGGGAGAATTGAATGTACATGCCCGTGCTGACTGCTTGCTTCCTCAGCTAGGTTTCTTAACCAGTTCAGGGCCTTGCCTAAGGAATCATGCAGCCCTCAACGGGCTGAATCTTCTACAGCAATCATCAATCGAGACAATTTCCTCAGACGTAGTCACAGGCAGATTTGAGTTAAATAATTCCTCAATTGAGGCTCTTTCCCAGGTAACATAGTTTGTATCATGATGAGTGTTAAAACTGACAGCAAAGGAGATAACCCAAACATATACATATATTCCAGGTTTCAAACAAAGGTGGACCTCTGGATATCTGCCCTTCCTGGGCTTTCTCCTTAATGTGGATTGGGTAAGTAAAACCTCTCTATAAACTATAACATTTAGTAAGGAAATTCACAGTTCTGTAAACATACATTGGGACCCCCCCCCAACACAAATCTTGCCTAATAGATCAGAGAAACCTCTGGAAAAGCCGTGTTTAATTTGAGATTGAATTAAGGAAAGTCCATCCAGGGAAAGGTGAGATGGGGTTTCCAGGCAGACAGAGGGTGTTCAGGAACACTTGACACAAGATGGGAATCCCGTACCGTGTTCTAGGTCCAGAGAGCCTCTTCTCCAGAGCAGGAGATGAAACAGAGGTGAACGGGACTGTGGGGGGCACTAGGTGACAACTTATTATTATTATTATTATTATTATTATAAGCAAATATTAAGGCACCTAAGTTTCAGAGGAAGATGACCACGGAAGTGAAGGGGAAAAGCAACTGACTGGGGTAACTTAACTAACAGGTAGAAGGCACAGAAACAGATTTCTGGGTAGCCACTACAAGGCATGGGCAAGGGTAAGAACCTGAGGGTGGGGCAGGGGGAGCTGAGCATTCGGGGCAGAACTGACAAAGATGTCTGTTTTCATGACAAGGCTCCATGGCCACTTCCAGAGTCTCTGCTCCAAGTAACAGAAGACAGGATCTGGGCACATTACGGGGACAAGAAATAAGATCACCATGCTAGAGTAGGAGGCTGAGAGTTACAGGAAAGAATAAGAAAATCTGTTTGGAATATTTGTGTTCCAAGCTCAGAGAAAGGTAAGCGTCCTTCTAAATCTGAAGCTACAAGCCTTGAAAACATCGGCTAGGAGTAAACGCGGTTGAAATCAAACCTCCAAATGAACAGGCACTCGGATTGGAGTATATTCACATTTATAACTTACAGGGAGCACTGAGGCCCCTGTAACTTCAAGAACAAGTGTTTGGTGCTTGGTTTTAATCAGTAGCGTGACCTGGGGAGAAATTCTCAGTGAGAAATCGGGCCTGCGGGGCAGGGTGGCGGCTATCTTGGTAACATTAACTGAGGTTGCAGGAGCCCGCCGAAAATGTGGGTTGCACCATTTCCCAGGTTTGGATTCTAGGTTGTTGGGAGATGGAAAATGTGAGCTGGGGAGGTGAATGCACACACGTATATCTGCTCTCTGCCCTGGACTGTGGGCATGGCTAGCTGCCACCTTGACTACGCTGCCATGGCGGACCACGGAATTGTGAGCTATTATCGACTCCCCCAAGTTGGTTTTGTTAGGGGATGTTACCACAGCAACAGTGAATGACAGGAAGATATTCTGAGAACTGCCAAATGACAGTAAAGGAAGCATCGGGGTAAGATGAGGCCTACAGAGATGAGACTAGGCCAGGGTCTTACTAGAGAGAAGCTGGAAAAAACTGAGCAAGTGTATCGGGTGAGGGTTGGAGGCGGCTGTGGGTAGGTTGCGTCCCTGAGTGGAGGCCACATCCCCTAAGAATTGTAGAGTTCAAGTCCACGCTGAATCCAATGCGTCAGATGCTGCTGGGAGAATTCTGAAGACTCTTAATTTCTGATATTTCTGGCCATGTGATTCCCCTCACCTAAGGTGTGGAATTATCCTCAAATGCACACAACAGGACAAACATGGGGGAGACTTTGCTTGTCAGGTGGAATTACAACCCACTCCCTAAAGAAACCCGGAGCCCCCACTCCTGCCTCCATTCCTGTCCCCCTCACCCCTGCCCCAGGCAGCCCACAGGCTCTGACTGCCCTCAAGAGCTGTCCACCTAGTCAAAGTCAGGATGCCTGAGGCCGGCAAGCACCCAAAGAATGGGGACTGGAGGTGGATTTTCCCAAGTCAAGGTTGGTGATAACTGTCAACAATCCAGAGCTTTGGGCACCAGCGTGGCCGGATCAAGATGAAGGTTGGTCTAATGCCACCTAGCTTTGGGGAATTTCGCTAAATCAGGATGAGTACAGCTTCTGAATCAGAGTTTCCATTTTAATGGGATTTCTAGGTGATCTGGAAGCATCTTCACCTTTGCTAACTGCTGGAAGAGACAACACAAGCAGTGTGAGCGGGAAAGCTTTACTTTTAGAGACAAATACACGCCAACATTATAGGAGGCTAGTCTGCTAATGAGGAGCATCCCGTAAAGACAGGGCAAACATGAGATGGGGGTGTGTCAACGTCTTGTGCCCACAGTGGGAGGGGGGAGGCAGACGATGTCATATACTTGGGCTAAACTGCAATTCGGTATTTTTAACTGCTTAATCTATATGACATTGATTCAGCGGAGGGAAGTTGAAATGTTTAAAATTGAAATTATATTTGTACAAACTAGCTAAAATGGTAAATATTATAATTGTATGGTTATTAGGATCGATCATGTAAATGCTTACAACATTGTAATTCATTTGTATTCCTCATTTAATTGAACACAATCTCAAAATTAACTAAAGCGTTCCTGTACAGGCTCTGGTGCTCTTCACGGTGATAATTCATTTATATAATTTACTTCCCCTGTTGTAAATTAATCAATTAATAAGCACTTGCAACATCCACCATGTGATTAGGAATCTGCCGGGTGCTGTGGGAGACGTACACAATAAAATTAAACAAATCTGGTCTCTAGTCACTGTACATTAATCTTCCCTACCCAGGAGTGTATTCGAGTTGCACGGGTCATTGCTGGGTGCGACAGGAGTTAAAGGCTTGTGGGCGTTAGGGTTTAAAGAATAGTTAAAGAGGGAGATAAGAGTCAATGTGACTTTGGGGGCTGTCAGGTGGCAGGGGGTGGGGGACAAGAAGCAGGCCTTGAAGTCTATGTCCAAACATGAGTGTGCTGTTCACGCAGGGAGCAGAAATGTGGCCTAACTGGTGATGCGTGGAGGAGACCGGAGACTAGAGACATTCTCACACTCAATTATCAGAGAGATATAGATACACAGACAAGGAAAGGCAGCAGACAGGAAGGGACATCTGGCCAGAGTCCAGGGTGGTTGCTGCCTGGAATTCCAGCAGCCCTGAGGCAGAGGCAGAAAGAGCACCAGTTCTGGGTCAGCCTGGGCTCTGTAGTGAATTTCAGCCCAGCCTGAGCTACATAGCAATACCCTGTC